TGAAATTTGTTCTGGAACATATTTGTGTTTTTACAATACACAATACAAAAAACAAAAGCAAAGGAAGATATCAAAACCAGATTTCTGAATAAATGTTCTAAAGAGAATGCAAGAAAGGCAAGCCTGGAGTATTATCTGAGCATGCACTGGTTGGTAGAATTCAGCACAGAGGACTGTGATTGACTTAAGGGTATACGTCCCTTTGAAACAGTATCACCTTTAAAACATTCATACTTATTTTTGAGTAGCTGTTCATGCTACAATATTATGATATATAAATGTAAATAAAAAAAAAAAATTTGATGATTAAAGATGAAGCAAGGAAAATAAATTTGTAGCTTAATGAGAGCAGGCAATTGGTAGTTATAGTTTTACACTTATTTTTTATTAAAAGCCATGTTTTACAGTGCCAGTATGATAAGCCTTGTTATTTTATGTAAAATCTGTGATCAAGTCTCTCAGTAGATGCACAGTAATTAGAGAAAGGTTATTATTAAGATAGTTAATAATATTAACCTTTTGTGCCCTGAGTACTCCTTAAAATTTTGAAAATTAAAACCTATTGACCTTCACTGGTTGTAAAAACTAGTTCACTCATTAGCTTAAACCCAAATTACTCCCAGCAGTCTAGCTGTAAAAAAAAAAATAAAAGAAGGGGGGATAGTGAAATTTTTAAATTTTTTTGGAAGCATTCAAAGCCTTATTAATACAGTCTATTAACCTAAAGACATATGCACGGTATGGTTGTTACATGTCAGGTACGCCGGTCTTTGAACTTGAACAAGGTACCTTATAGTAGAACTGCAGTCAGTCCCTAATTTTACTTTGGAGAGAGAGAAAACATTAGAATGTCTACTGTATAGCATTATATTATAGTAAGGAAAAAATATCTATAATTAATGGATAAGTAATAATGTCTATTGTATTTGACAACCTAGGTGTTTTAGGGTTGAATGAGTCTTTTTATGGATCCTTAAGATTAAACTGAACATTAAGTATCTCTGTGTCACCAAGAACCCTTTCTTCTGCCCCCTACCCTCTGCTTCAGCACCTCTCATCATACTTTGATGATTAAACTGGCTAACAATGCCATTCTCTATCCATCCCTAAGTTCACCTGTAGCTATTTTACAATGCTGGCTCCTCCCATTAGACTTCTTGTTACTTACCATTATTCTCCCAGCTTTAACATCCTGTTCTCCTCTTGTTCCATGCCCTGTAAATGTAAATCTCATAGTTCACTTTTCCCACAATCTTGGCTAAACTTTTGTGCATTACAACAGCCACAAAACACAACAGTTGTATCTCATTGCCAAAGACAAATGTCAAAATACCAGGAAAAACACCATTGTTTAATTAAAGGGATTTAATCATTTTCGAAAAAAATTATTATGATAGTTTAAATAAAGTTAAGTAAAATTTTACTTTTGTTTTGTACAAACACTTTCATTTTAATAACTTTTTTAATTATTTTGGATGAATTAAAACTAATAGGGGGTTTCAATAATTTGGACCTTTAAAATTTTTTTAACACAAAGTAGCTTAGCTATGTTGTGAATAATAATAAAAAAGAACCAAATAAATTAAAAAGGTTTTGGTGGAGCAACGTGTGGCAGATCAAAATAGTAGCCATAAAATCATGAACTGGTTTGCACTTCATTTAACAACACTGCAATGAAATACCGCCTATTTAATTTTTTTATCTGCCATAACTATCTTTGCTGCAGCAGAGGATCTTATGGTCACAGCAGCAAGTTTCTGCTTTCTTAATAGCATCAACTTTTACAGATGCAAACACTGCATCAAATTCTATCAGTAAAACAGCTTTACCTCACAGCTGGGTCATCAGTCTGTTGATTGGTACTTGATGGCTAATCTTTACATACTGTATCACTCAAATCAATAACACCTATTAAAAAAATGTCTTCAGCAAACTCAGTCTGCTCTGATAGGGATGGATAATTAGAAACAGAAGGTGACTATAAGCTCTAGATCAGGTCATATTGTTTTTTCAGTAAATGACTACTAATGATAAAGCATAACTTGTCAATCAACACATGATAAAATCATAATAAAAAAAATGAAAGTAAGCCTGTTAATGACAAAAAGGACTCACTACTGTGACTTTCATGGTTTTGTGAACTGCTAGTACCTACGCTCCTTAATTCAACTCAATACAGTTTATCTATATAGCGCATATTCACAACATATGTCATCTCAAGGCACTTTAAAGTTCACCAGATCATACAGTCAAATTGATTCAAAGTTTTCTACTTAAGGAAAACCAGTTGATTGCATCGAATCATTGACTCAAATGTAATCCCTCAGGCTAAGCATAGCGAGACGGTGTAGTGACAGTGAAGAGGAAAAACTCCCTTTTAACAGGATGAAACCTCCAGCAGAACCAGGCTCAGTGTGAGCGACCATCTGCCGAGGCCGACTAGGGTTCAAGGAGACAGAAGCAGAGGTACAAAAAGCAACTGTAAAAGGTGGCCCTGTCCAGGAAACACACAGCCAGGCAGAAGAGCCTCAAACCAGCTCCCATATCAGAGGATGAAGAGAGCACATCCAGCCAATCACAGTCAGAGAAACAGGACTACACTGAAAAACAAGCCAATCTCGAACATCTATAAACAAAAGTGTTGATTGCCTCAGCACAGCTGGTATTTCTCTCCAGGATGGTTTCACAGCCAAACAGGAACAGACGAGGCAAAGCTACTATGAGAGAAAGCAGAGAGAGCAGAACGTTTGAGATTGAACTAAGAAATTCTGCAGAGTAGGAGAATAGAGAGTGAATGAAGCAGAATGATGAAATAGGGGTCCCTATGTCCTCCAGAAGTCTACACCTATAGCAGCATAACTATAGAGATAGCTCAGGATAACCTGAGCCACTCTAACTATGACCCTAATCAAAAAGGACATTTTTAAGCCTACCCTTAAAACTAGAAAGGGTGTCTGCCTCACGGACTAAAACTGGTAGTTGGTTCCATAGGATAACTAAAAGATAACTAAAAGATCTGCCCTTATTCTACTTTTAGAAATTCTAGGACCACTAGTAAACCGGCAGATTGAGAGTGAAGTGCTCTGTTAGGAACAATCATATCTCCGATTTAAGATGGAGTTATGTATGCAAGGAGGATTTTAAATTATATTCTGGATTTAACAGGAAGCCAATGAAGAGAAGCTAGGATAGGAGATATGATCTCTCTAAATTTTCATCAGAACTGTGGCAGCATTTTGAACTTCCTGAAAGTAAAGAATTACAATAGCATTGAAGTAACAAATGCATGGACTAGATTCTCAGCATTGCAAATTGCAAAGTACACTAGCAATTGTAAAGTTTCATATTCTTAACATTAGCTAATAACCTGCATCGGATACAAATAGCTGTTGTTGTTACATAACAAAGTGAATTGGCCAATTTTGATTATGTATTTTAGCCGTTTTAGTTGTTTACTTAATTTATTGCTCAGACAAGCCTAAGATTGTACACAACATATGGACTCAGCAATTAGTCTGAGGTTTTTACTAAAAGAAGTTTGAATAGTCTGATCTTCCTTAATATTTGGTTAGTTATGAGATCATCTACCCTCTATATGAAGTGATTTATATGATTAAATCAAGTCATGCACAAAGCTGTCTGAGGGAGTGCTTAGTAGCTATCACTGAAACCAAGTCTTTGTGCTATTAATGATTTTGGAAAGCTCTTAGTTGTCCAGCTTCAGTGGACGTTCTTTGTACAGCATATATTCACAGTGAGTCATGCCCCATAATGAGTATAATAATAGGCTTCAAAGCCCTCACAGGTGAGAAGTGTGCCCTTTTCACAAATTATAGGCTGTTATTTAAAATGATTAAGCAATAGGAATGTCACGAAGCACAAAGACAAGAGTTCTGTCAGGGAACAGTAGATGGACTTTTAAACTACACATTTAAATAAAAGCAATCTTCTGAGTTTCACAAATAGCATTGACAACGTTTTCTGTAAACAGTGACTATATAAAGAGGCTTTCCAGCTGAATATTAACTATCCAACAACATGTGAACAAGACTGTCTACCTGTTTTGGTAGGAAGTCAGCATTTTTGATGGATGTCTTGATTTTCAAGGATTGCAGCATGGTAAAGAGGAATGAGGCCAACAGCCTGGGTTCTGTTTTTGCTCTGTCAAATGTGGAGCAGTACCTTTTTCCACAGCATGACTCTGTTTCTTAGGATATAAGACTATAAAAGAGATTTAAAAACAAAAACAAAGCAAAAAAAACATTTCAATTTTTAATCCCCATGCACCTTTAAGGCAAATAGCTTGTGATTCCCACATTGGTATTGAATATGAGGATAATCTTCACAGTAAGACTTGCAGAATTTATTTTTGAAATATTTTAGCCGCATTTATTCAAACCCACAATTATGAACACCATAATCAATACAGACATAAACAAAAATGTTAACAGATGAGAACAGATAAGAAACTGTTTAAATGTAAATTAAGTTTAAAATTGGGCTTTTGGGGAAGTGTTGGCCTGGTGCTTAGAGCAATGTGCTTGTGCTCTGAGAAGTTTGAAAGTATCCATTTTGATCCCCACACTGCCTGCACTCTGGGTCCCTGATTAAGACACTTAAGCCCTGATTGGCCGCACAGTGGCAGCCCACTGCTCTCCAAGGGGATGGGTTAAGATACAGAAGTGAATTTCTCCATTATTATTAGTTAAGAACTTTATGATATTAAATAAGAGGTAGGGTTCCTTACTATAAGGACGTTGTTGGTAAATACTCTAAGTTGTGATGAAATCACATTTCCATCACTTCTACTTTTCAACTGTGCAGCTAAAAAAGTAATTGTTAGCCGTCTTTTGTTCAAATACTGACCCAACTTTGCAGCGTTTTTTCCATCTAAAAAACAAAAAAAAAAAACAAAAAAAACATTAGCAAGAAAAGTTGACATTCCAAACTGTAGGACCTACTTTAAGTCATACTTCCAAGACCATTTAACACCTCTTAGACTGACATTTCATAACCTATGCATGCTGCTGGGGGTTTGCTTGTATTCTCTGCAGGTTTTCCAGATTTTTGTAAATGCCTCCATTGTGTGTTCCAAAGGGAACAAATGTGCTTCAAATCTGAGTAGCACAAAACAAAACGGGATGAAGAAGAAAACCGGTCAGATTACAAGTAAAATAAAATAAGGATTTAGGAATAATGCTTGTTTTTAAGAAATATATTGAAGTAAGATCTTTGTTTCCCAGTGTATGTTATTTATCTCTTAGGGAAAATGGCCTGTTAAAATAGTACTTTGGTTTTTGCTGTTGGTTCCTCTTCCATTCTTCTGTGTAGATAGCATTTAAAATGGCACAAAAGGAGGCTGCAGTAAAAACTGTATACCTTTATGGTGAAAATGGGCTGAAAAATATGAATAGGCATATGTAATAAACTGTGGTTCAAGTGGCTTGTATCAACAGACTGAAATGCATGTTTGAACCTTAAACTCTAATATTTTGAAATGTATATTTTAGGTTGAACAAAAAAGGCTAAATGTTTAAAACGCTTAAAAACAGCATCTCCTGATCAGCTCTGGGTCAATTTAATGATTGAGCAAACATCTCACCTGCAGGTACCAATTGCATCCTGATGGTGATGGTTCATTTTGATACCCTTCTTACTGCAATGATATTAAAAGAAAAAAAAAACAAAAACAAAAAAAAAACCCTGCACTTATGATATTGGAGTTCAGGCAAAAAATTTGTTGATTTTTGTTGCTAGACAATTTCTCAACGCATGACATGCACTTTTAGCCCATTTTCTCTAAGTTAAACTGATTACATGAAAATATATAAAAACAAGGAGGGAGATTATCGCAAAATAAAACACCCGTTGTTCTTTTCCCATGGTTTGCATATTCCTTCATGAGTCTGGCAAGGCCGTTGGGAGATTGATGCGTCTGTCTGCTTCATACCTTCTGTGACTGCTCAGCAAGGCACTGTGCTTCATGAAACTAGCCATATTCCTAAATGATGAATGTGCACCAGCGCATCCACAGGGAGAAGAGACGAATCTAATCTCAGCCGAAAGGGGAGGCTGATATTGAAAATCATCTGGAATTTTGCCCACCACAATATTGAAAATCTTTATTCTAATTGCATGAATGAATTGAATGTTCTCTTTTGATAAATCCACTCCGCCACCAAGGGAATTGTGTAAATGAAGCATCGCAGATTCGTTTGTTGCTGCGGCAGGCCCAACTGTGCTGTGTGCCCGGAAGTCATTTTCATACTCTCCTTGCGCCGATGTTGATTGCTTGTTTACTCGAGCAAAAAACTCTGCTCACAATGTTATCATATGATATAAATGAAACTCTGACAAGATCTTCCACCCACATATTACAACATATCAAATAGTTATAAGAGGCACATCGTTCACAATACCATTCACAGAGGAGGAGAAATGGGAGACAGAATTTCAGTATACAAAACAATTTTTATTTCTCATAAGGCTGTCTTATATCTACTGGGGATAGCTATTTTTCTCCATTGGGACTAATACTTTCTCTCTGTCAGTGTGAGCAAATTCCCTCTCTTCTGTGTGTGAGAAAGATCTACATGACCCCTCTTTCTTAGAATCATGCTTATGTTTTATCCACAGCTGCTCCAAGTCCCTCCTGCATCTGGGCCAAAAGGTTGAAAGTGTCACCTCTGCCTTCGTACGTGAGGCAACTCTATACATTGTTTTTCCTCATCTTCACAGAAACTACAAGCATTGTCGGTGCTAACCAAAAAGCATGACAAAAAGTTACCTGGACCTACAATTCATTTTCAGCCTTTTTCCAAAATAAGCTTAAATTGTAAAGCAGTTCTTCAGCCTCTGAACAGGTTAAGAAACTGATTGATGTTCACAATGGGTGCTTTAATCTGAAGAATACATATATCAGCCTCTTTGATCTGTTATCTTACAGTTATGTATTTATGTTTATTTACACAAATGATCTTACATAAAATAAATGCAGTGCTCATGAATCCACATTGGGCATGCCCAACAAAAAAAAGTCAAGGTGTCCCTTACTGAGGGTGAAGCTTGGGTCATAAAGTCAGACCAAAAAAGTTCTTATCATCTCATTGTATGCAGCTTAGTCCAGTCAGTTTAAGTTTTGACTATCCTGCATTACCGGAAATGGCATCCGTCTCCATCAGCAAGTAACACCAATGATTTCTGCACAGAAATATTCGAAAATGAGGGTCATTTGTATCTACTCTGCCTCCAGTTGTGTGAATTCCATTTTCAGTTCTGTGTGTGCCTCTCAATGTGTTTCACCTTCAGGCAGGCCAAGAGATTGTCTTCAAATATTTTAACAACCTCTAAATGAGCTCCGCTAAGATGTAACAGACTTTCAGGTAAAGAGGGGGTGAGGAAACAGAATGAGCGTAGGTTGGAAACCGGCCACCGTCATGGCGAAGAGTATAGTCCCCGACGTGGGGCTCATTGATCAAACAGGGGATTAGTACGGTTTCAAATCCTTGGCACCGAGTGAGCAAAGCTGTTTTATCTGGATGGATATCCTTTCAGCGGTCCCAGGTAAGCCAGTGGTAGCCGTGGATGTAATAGTTTTAGTCCATTGAACCGGAGGGAAAAAAATGTAGAAAGAGGTGAGAGCCTGGTGTGCAGTTCTGTAACCAGGAGCTCTCTGTTAGGTCCTGGGATGAATCTGAAACACAGGGTCGGGAAAGGGAGAAGAGAGACAAATAAGCAAGAGTCAGATCATAAGAAATTGTGGCATTTATGAAAGCAAAAATACCCTTTTAAGATGCTGCAAGTCAGTCCACCCCTTTGCTATTACGTAATTCTCTTAGTTTTAGTATGACACTTTTCTATAAAACAGTGCTGTCTACTCTAGATTGTTTCATACCAACAGATGATCAAATCATATTCCGAAGATGTTTTTTTATATACAGCTTGCTGGGCCGCAAAAAAGTCTTAAGTAATTTGCTATATTCAACTTTACTGTGAGGATATGTAATAACAAAGCAATAAGGCTGAAAATGGCCTTTAGGTAGGTAACTGATTATTGGGTATATTATACGACACATTACTGTGTTAGAAAAGGAAAGGTTGGCAAGTGTAGGGATTTGAGAGAGTTTGACATGGGCTAGATCATGGTGGTTAACAATTTTATGAACTGAATTTCTTTTTGCTTGCTCCTAGTTTTCAGGGGTCAGTATTTGTTCAAACTACCAACAGGGTCAAGGGTGTAGTGTAGATGAGCATTGGTATCCAAAGTCAGAACATGTTTTTTTTTTATGTCTTTCAGAGGGATCCTTCATTCCCTGTTCTGTATCAGAATACAAAACACCACAGCATGTCGAGATGCATTGCTCCCAGACTAGGAAGGGTGCAAATGGCCTCTCTGATGACTGCAGCCTTCTTCGGCAGGTAACTGTACAGTGCAGAAAGGGAACAATGATTTAGGAATGGTCTTGAAATGCCAATTGGTGGCCTGGTGTGGGACCTCAGTTAGTTTAGCTTGAGGACATAATCTGTCAAATATTATTAGTCAGATAGTTTAAATAAGGTTTAGAACTGTCACCTTTGATGACACGGTTAGTACAATGTTTTCGGCATAAAATAAATATAACTTAATTTGATTGACCAAGAGACCTTTCAAACTCCAGTTAAGTTCTGTCACATAGGTTTGTCCTTCTGCTGAAAGGCTTGTATAAGGGAAATAAGTGGAGGCATGTTTAAAACAATTAAAAACACACCAGTATGTGTTTCCATGCTGTCCATGTCGGATTTATATAAGTATACAGTATGTAATCATATTATTGATTGTGTCTCTGAACGTGTAGGACCTCCGTCAGGCTCTGCAGCCATCTTTGTTGGGGCCTATGCAGACAGGCAAATACGGGCATGGATTTTCCTCTATTATATAAGATGGCCTTGCTAAGTCGAAGCCCACGCTGCTGAGTCTGAGCTGTCTCTCCATGACTTCGGTTCAGGGACATTTAATTCTTCTTCAGCTGTAGACATGAACACATTTCAATGGTGCTTTGTATAGTCTTGAGACTGCTATTGAATGTTCGTCTTTTCAGCATCCTGCTCAATGTGCAATATGTCTGCATATATTAAATTCTTCAGTTTCTTCTCTTCCTCGCTTCCCAGTTAATTATTTAAAAATCATTTGCTCGACAGCAGAATTAAAGGCAGATTTTCTGGTTATTCTGCTTCTTAAAGATAATAAAGTGAACTATACTTGCATACTGCAAAAGAGAAGAAAAGAAAATCAAAATAATTTATGGGATTATTATTGTGCAGAGGACATAGATTAGATCTAACTTGCAAGAACTAACTGCACAATTGCTTTCTTTTTGTTACTTGAATTATATTTGGACATATTTTTACCTTTAGCCATGCAAAATTGCAAAAAAGATACTTGTGTTTATGTTTTTGATTGTCTCCACTGTAATGTACTGTAGTGCAATGTCAGTTGAGCTCCGTCCATGCTAGAGATGTGGTGAGTGTGCCGCAAGTTTTTTGTCTTAGATTTTTGGCGTACCTCTGAGCTAAAACGTACACAGGTAATATAAGTAGTGGGGTAGTATGCTTTAGATGCTGGATTGTGGAGAAATACTTGGTCATTATATTGTTCAGGGAATATAATATATATTTAGAACGATAATAGAAGAAAAAAAAGGTGTTACTCTTCATCACTATATTGTCAAAATCACACAAGCCTTCCTGCTGGTTGCATTGTTAAGAAACTGCTTTTTGATCTACTGACATCTGAAAAAAAGAGTTGTTTCAATCAAATACTCTGAAAAATAAAAGAATATATTCAATTAGTTCCGACATATATACAGTATACTGTTGCATATAATGATTTGATATTTGTAGGAGTTTTTGCAAAAGAAAGGTCGGTTTTAAAATGTTTAAAAGGCAAAAATCTATGTTAATTCCAGTTATATAATGTTTCCATAACAAAGTTAGGGTAAGAAGTTTAGTTATCCGTGTATAATTTGTGAAAAGGAATGGTGTTAAAGCTGCTTTTAAAAGCTGTTTTAGATTAACATTTTTCACCAAAATGTACCCTTGAAGAAATATCCTGTTTTCTCCCGCATTCTTTCAGCACAGTAATCCGCTTGGCTCATGTGCCCCATATTTGCATCTGTATCATCTCCACTGTCTGACAGCCGTATCAAAATTACCTCCGCAAGACCAGGAGCAGTAGCAGGTTGCATATCGAGGATCACGGTCTGTCTCAAACCCAATCCCCTTGTGGTTTGTTAGCAGGAAAAGACAAGTGGTATGGAAATATCAACCCACATGGATGTGTAAGAGAGACTATGTCCTCCACTCTTTTTAGTCCTCTAGAAATATATAGTCTAGCAGGTAGCAGCGATCGCTCAAGGATTTTCTGCTTATCTGATCATTGTTGCTTGCAAATTAGATGTCTGCATTCTAATTTGTTTACTGCATTTAGCTAAGGTTTACTCTGACTACAGTTGGTAGTCCAAGGACAATTGCCTCAGTCAAACAATTTAGTGCAAACATAGACCACTGTTTTCTCCTTTCTTCATTTTTTGCTTGATGACTCAGTGATGCCTGTGGAGAATTGCTTTCTAACAGCTCCACTAAAGACCCTTAAAAACAGGAGACACCAGACACAAAAATACATCAAGATTTATTTTATGCGACAGTGACAATAGAAAAAGGAATATATGAATTAATCAGTAGCACTTAGAGTGAAATACTTCACTCAAAACGTCTATAAATATGCCACAAGAAGGGTAGAGTTGGCAGTGAGCACTGCATCTCTTATTTTACAGACTCAAGCTGTGAATAAAACGTGTTTACTTTGTGGTAAACACATAATTTACAGCCATATATTGTAGAATTTCATGGATTTAGTCATGATGCGTTACCAGGCAAATCAGCAGGATCAAGCAGTGCTGCAGTGCATCACTCCCACAAAACCCTAACTGCTTCTGACACGACTCCATTGAACTTCTCCTACAAAGTGCAATAACCATATTTGAGGATAAAGATATTGATGAATGTGCAGGTTGGTTTGCATTGCTCTTATATTCTCCTTGGTAAAAACCTATTGCTAGGTGTTATGTATTTGGATGAATGCTGTCGGCTCCTTTTGCCAATGATATTGGTTATGTAACTGTTCCATGTCAGACTTGCAAAAAGAAATAGTAAAAGGGCTGGTTAAGTAGGGTCATATTAATTAATTAATTTATTTAATGTACTTATTTATTTATATACCATCAGGTAACAAGAAGGCTCCATAAGGACTGAAATTTCTTGGTCAAGGTAACCGCCAAAAAAAACAAAAAATACATAACAGTTAAAAACTTAATAAACAATACAATCATATACAACAAAAGAATGGTGTTAAAAATGAATGTTAAGGCAAAAAACCTCAAACAAAACAGTGAAATTCTACATCTTTTACACCATATGTGTCAACCTTACTGTAATGCGTGAAATTTTGCTTAATCCAGGCCTCAAGAGTCAAATAAGGCATATGATGTCATAAAATAGAGGCATTTGTTCTTTAAAAGTGTACAAAGTAGCTAAAACTGCTAAACAAATGGAAGTAGTTATTATTTCAAAAGCAAAGTGCTCTTTGTACATGAACAATGAAATCAAAAGTTTCCTTTAATCAGCTACAACTGTAACTTTTTCAAGAATTAATAACACTAAAATGGCCCATTATATAAAATAGTTTGACAGATGACTGATTTATGGTGATCTTAAAGTTTGTCAAAGAACAATTCAGGAGATTTTTGAAGGTTATTTCATGACCACAGTGCATAATAAGACAATTATGTTTTACTTGGAGAAAATTCTAAAGCAACCAGTTGGAGGTTCACAATTAGCAGCTGATGGAGCTGATACAGAGACAGGGGCTATGGAGGCTTTATGGAAATAAATGGTGTAGTTCTATGACCACTTAATGACATGGACTGATTATGTAGAGAAAAGAAGACTATAATCCTAGTAAGGTTTCTAAGTATCAAGCATTCTTGTGACGGTTGCTTTAAGAAATAAGTGCTGATTTCAACAGGAATCAGAGCAACCATGTTTATCAGGCCCAAAAAGTAAATCAAAATGTCTAACTAGAACTATTGTAAATTAAATCCCTGAAGAAGGAAGAAAAAGAAACAATAAAAACCAATTATACATATTGTGCATGTTCTATCCAAGCAAAGCAAAAGCAGCCCTTCAGGCTGCACTGTAGAACAGTGGTCCCCAACCTTTTTTGCGCCACAGATGGGTTATATGTCAGACAATGTTTTCACAGACCGGCATTTAAAGTGTGGAGGGTAAATACGGTCAAATAAAATGATACGACTGGCATAAAATCAAATACAAACAGCATAAAAACCTGTGTCAAGAGGCACAGGTCAATTCAGGTAATTGGGAGAGAATACCCCATTTTATAAAA